GAATACTTTTGTTGATTTATAATATTTATTTATTTAAATGAAGATTTTTAAGTTTAAAAATGACAGTAGCTCAAAGATGAAATTGTGTGTGGTGTCATCTGTTATAGGATGTTATTAAAAGGCAAAAATGACTTACTTTTGAGGATAGAAATGAGTTTTCAAAAATATTGTAAATGTCAATAACAAGCAAAATTTTCATTAGGTCTAATCTCACTCAAGATATGAAGCATGACTCCCCTCTATCTTTCCACCTCAAGTTCCAGACTCTAAAATTAAGAGCATCAATGCCCCTTACATAGAAGTTACTATGCCAAATTTCATTTCTTAATCTTTATCCCATCCTAAGATATTAAATGAAAAAGATGCCAATACATAAGGAAATTTTTCCTTCTTTGAGTCCAAGAAGTCTTTAAAACATTGAGATTTGAAATCCCTGAGAATCATATTTGACACAACTACAATACTTTTCTATGTTTCATTAAAACAGCTAAGAAAGTAAAAATACTATGATACAATTGAAAAAATTCACTGAATAAAAAAAAATGATAATTTTAAGCAGGGGTGCACAACCTGCGGCCCGCGGGCCACATACGGCCCCCTATCAATGTTTATGCGGCCCGCGGACGGTACAGGCCAAATCCCTTCTTTCCAAGTTTCTAAGTGTAGAACTTTTTNAATTTGGGATTTTCCCTCTCCTTGTCACTCGTTATGAGAAACATTGCAACTTGTTAAGAGAGTCAAATTTTTACAATTTGTTTTGCTCATTAAGCAAAATACTCATTATGTGAGGTGCTCATTAAACGAGGTTCCACTGTGTAAATTTAACTAATTAATTAAATTTTATTACATTTCAAATTTATCAGTTAAATATAATATAATTTAATTATATTTCAAATGTAACTAATGTAAATGTAATAAATACATTTGATACATAAATTTAAAATTTTTAATACTTACTTCAGCAAAAAAGATGCAACTTGTTCATCTGAATACCAATCTGGTAGTCCAAGCTTAACACGAAACATTTTTCCTAAATATCTTTTTATTTGAATATGTGTAAATAATCCTTCATCTATACAAATCACTTGTCTTAACATATTTGCTACACAACTAAAAAAACAAAAGCAAAAAAAAAAATTTTAAAGTACAGAAATTATTTAATGACTACTTATTAATATTGCTCATATTAAAATAGAATAGGTCTTTGATTTACTATGGTTTGATATCTGCTATTTTAAAAAGGTTTTATAATTTCTCTTATTTCTTCTAAAAGTTTTTAAAATGTTCAAGATATTTTTATATTTAGAATATTTTAAATTTAAATAATTTNTATTTCAGATGTTAATTCAGTATCAAAAACGTAAAATATTTGAGTAGCCCGAGAAATAGCCGAAGATTGCAGCGCCACAGCACTAGCGGAAATTTAAATTTGCTGACTGGAATGCTTTCGGATAACGGACGTTTCGGATAAACGACGCTCTACTGTATTAAGTTGGACCAAGAAAATTAATACTGTAGTTGGAATAGAGTCATTACGACTAAAAGGAAGCCATTTGCATTAAAATATTTTGGATTTAATCATTATTACAAACTGCGTTAAGCCATAAACTTGTCAACAAAGAGGGTTGTAAAATGATTCCGTGTAGCTAGAAAACTGCAGTTTTTTTTTGTTTGAACGAAAACAGATATATTTAGATTATTTAAGTAGTAAATTAATTGGAACTTTTTATTTACTTTTATTTTTACATTCTTTTTTTCGTAAATTTAAAATTAAATTATTATTTTTAATTTTTATTTTATTTGAAATTTAACAGTCGTAAACTGTGATATATTTAGGACAGAAAAAAAAAAAAAAACAGATTGATTCTAGCGCCAATTTGAAACGAGATATCGCAATTTTAATAATTATATTTAAAATATTCAGATTTTCCACTGCACTGTGTTAATCACTTTTGATTCATTTCTGAACACGGGGGTAAAACTGACGGGCCATAAATATAATTTAGGTAAGAATGGTAACCACATTTATGATGGATTAGTGTCCTGCACCTGGCATGTTGACGATCTGACTCACAAATTCTGAGAAATGGTGGAGACGCCCGGACAGGGGTCGAACGAATTAAGACCTGCCTGGCCACGTGTGCGTAATAGTCTTCTGTCCCCGCCTCTTTAGTCTTTGGTCAGAGTGGATACAGAACAAAGCACGTGGTAGTCTAGCTTGCCTTATCTCAAACATGATTTGTTGCGGGCCTCAGAATTTTCGGCACAATGAGACATTGTTTTGCAGAGTGAACAGTATGGCGCCGGGCATTAAACGCAAGGTCAATCGCGAGAATCATCAGTTTCAAGAAGTGGAAGTGTGGACTAACAAGTACTGTTTTGTGCAACAGAACAACAGCATTATTTGCCTTTTGTGCAATGGAACAATAGCAGTGCCAAAAGAATTCAACCTGAAGCGACATCATGAAAGCCAACACAAGGATTTCCTTCTGCAAGGTACGGAACGCAAACGGAAAATCGAATCGTTACGACGATCACTAATCAGCCAACAAAATGTGTTCAAGAAACAATCTGGAGAATTGGATGCGGCTGTTGAAGCCAGCCTAGAAATATCTGCTTTAATAGCCAAGAATGGGAAACCTTTCACAGATGGCGATATGATAAAAAAGTGTCTTATCATCGCAAGTGAGAAGATGTGTCCTGAGAAGACAAAGTGTTTTCAAACAATCAGTCTTAACCGCATGACGATACAACGGAGAATCTCGCAAATTGCATCAGACATTTCTGGCCAACTTAATATTTTAGTTGCAAACTGTGCTTATTTTTCTTTGGCTGTGGACGAATCCACTGACATATCATCAACAGCACAAGTGATTGTGTTTATTAGAAGTGTTTCACTAGATTTTATTGTGAATGAAGAATTTCTTGGCATGGCATCACTTTCCGGACATACAACTGGTGCTGACTTACTTACTGGTTTATTGAGCGTTTGCAACAAATCAGCACTGGACTTTGACAAGCTATCCAGCATTGCCACTGATGGAGCACCATCTATGGTTGGATGTGAGAATGGCATGGTCACCTTGCTGAAAAACCACCTTGGGGACAGGCAAAAGGAGTTAGTCCAGTATCATTGCATAATTCACCAACAGCAACTTTGTGCAAAGAAGCTGGGATTTGAACGTCTGCTGAAAGATGTCTATGATACTGTGAACTTAATCCGCCGTCATGGACTCAACCATCGACTCTTCACATCATTTCTTGAAGAAATAGATGCTGATTATGCTGACCTGCCCACGTATACTGAAGTTCGTTGGCTGAGCAAGGCAACAGTCCTCAAGAGATTTGTGGAGCTATTGGGGCCTATTATCACTTTCCTCAAAGAACGGGGGAACACTACAAGGAATTTGGAGGGACAAAGATGGCAGTGTGATTTAGCTTTCCTTGCTGACATTACTGCTTATCTAAACGACCTTAATTTGAGATTGCAGGGAAAGATGCAACTTGTTTCTCAGTTGACAAGTAACATCAATGCATTTATGACCAAACTATCACTTTTCAAGTCCCACATGCAATCAGAGAACTTTACACACTTTCCACATTGCAAGGCCATGAAAGAGAAATACCCACATATGAAGATGGATTACTCTGACCAAGTTAACACCCTCCTTACATCATTCAATGAGAGGTTTGGTGAATTCCAGAAATACAAGATCTACCTGCAACTTTTTTCAACTCCATTTGATGTGAAAGTGGAAGATACCCCTCCAGATGTCCAACTTGAGTTGATAAACATCCAGTGCAGTGATGAATTGAAATCACAGTTTAAAAATTCTAATCTCCTCACATTCTACAAAGAACTGCCTGATACATCATTTCCAAAACTGAAAGACAATGCTCGATTTTGTGCAAGCATGTTTGGCAGTACCTTCCGTGTTTCCCCGAAAATAAAACACTGTCTTATATTAATTTTTGCTCTGAAAGATGCACTAGGTCTTATTTTCAGGGAATGTCTTATTTTTCCATGAACAAGAATTCACATTTACTATTGAACAAAAAATTCCCAAGTCGAATTTAGACGAGAGTGACGTATATCCGGTCATGTTGAACTGAACTTAAATAAAACCGAAGTGAACTTACAAAGTTCTGTTGGAGTGGACTTTCCACTCTTGCTTCAACTTAACCTTTTTATAGCGTCTACATCGGGCTCGATGACTAATTACTGCTTACTGAACCATAACACTTTGCAAATGTGATGTGGCGTGATTCCCAGCCGACCAATTAGTGATCACCAGCCATAACATTATGCAAATCTGTGATTCCAAGATATAGTCTTATGCAAATCTGTGATTCCAAGATATAGTCTTATGCAAATCATGCCGTGTGGCTTGTTGTCTGCTGACCAATCAGTGGCTGTACTTTCAAAAAGCTAACAGCCACTTTCGACCTGCTGTCAATGACTGTTACCAGTAAAAAAAAAACTTTACTAGGTCTTACTTTCGGGGAGGCCTTATATTTAGCAATTCAGCAAAACCTCTGCTAGGTCTTATTTTCAGGGAAGCATGGTATGTATGCGAACAAGCATTTTCGCTTATGAATTTAAACAAGTGCAAAACACGGAACAGGTTAACCAACAAGAATTTGGAAAATCTGCTGGTTGTTTCAACATCTGCCATTATGCTAGACATCAAGAAGATTGCCGCCAGCATCCAATCTCAGCCATCGCATTAATTACTTGGAGGTCCGGCCCCCAGTCAGTAAACTTAATCCTAATTTGGCCCTTCTTCAGAAAAGATTGTGCATCCCTGTTTTAACTTACAAAAGTAATTTTATTATTCTAATAATAAATTTCTATCAAATGGATTCTAACAAAATAAATTCTAATCTTTTTAAACAAAACATATTTAATGAACACATATAGAAGTTAATTATATTCTAATTTTCAGTTATTTTTAGAATGTAAAACTTATTTCAAAAATTAACTGAAAAAAGTTTCTTACCTCAGAAGGATATAATTGTAATGATACTGCATGTAAATTATTAGCTCCACATATATTGGGATAACCTATAGAAGCATCCTTTAAAAACAACATAAACCTTAAATATATTAACAGCAAAATATTTAAACTTTTTAAAATATTTTTACAATTAAACAGAAATTTATAATTAATTTTTACATAGTTCTAAAATTAAAGAACTGCAACACTTCTTGCTTTTTCTCAAAATAATTAGAATCTGATGGTTTTGTTTTTTCGATACAAATGACTGTTCTCTGTTTTCAATCAGAAAGAACAGTCAAATAATTTTATCTTTATTAGATTAGACAATCATTATTCATTATGTACATCACTCATTATGAGTAAATACAAAACACAGAACTGATATAAAGATGAAAATATAACTTAAAATATATATATTATGTCACAGCTTATGTGGGTGAGTGTGTGTACTGCAACTGAAAATTTTTGCATTGCATTAGTTCTTTGTTTTGTATTTGTATAGCTTAAATTCACATAACATGACACTTTTTTGAAACATAACTACCATTTATATGAGGAATACCTGTATTTAATTTCAGAATGCTCAAAGTTTCTGCTTTTAAGTTTAGTTAACACCAATTTGGAATCAGAAAAAATGTTTCTTAAAATTTCAAAGCATGTGAAACTACATTAAAAACTAAAATCTGAAAAATTGAGGTGTGATTAGAGTATCTATATTGGCTAATTTTAACTTTCTTAAGACAACTCCACACATTCACTATTTGCCAATTGCCAAATAATTGTCTATTGATTTGGCACATTATAACAAGCAGTGGGAAGTGACAAACACAGAATATTAGTAACAAGTAAATCATTCACAATACTTGGTATTGGCCAAATGTTTGCTCAGCATTCAGTGAATAACTAAATGTGTGGAGCAGCTCTAATACACAGCCAAATATTTTCAAAAATATTTTGCATAATCCGTTGCAATACAAATGACTTCAAAGGAGCATAAATCCAAAAAAAAAAAAAAAAAATAGCTGAGATTTCAGAAATCAAATATTTATTTTGATAAAATATTTTTCAAGTTGTTTATTTCTCATCTTCAAATACCTAAGTCTGTTCTGATATTAAATAGAAATAAACCAACCTGCCATATCCTTGAAATAATTTGACAATTCATTAATTTAATTCATAAATTACAACTTAAATTTATTTTATATGTAGATATTTCTCAAAATTTATAACTAAATTAGAATTTACTATTCATAACTTTTAGATTAAAAACACATGTTAAAAACAACTTACTTTTATCTCTAGTTTAACTCTATCACCATTTGGCAATTCATATTCAACTGGTGGAATATTCTAAGTTAAAATAAAATTAGAGAAATTATTAAAATAACTAAATTATTTGTATAAATTGCTACTAAATAATGTTATTTTATCATTATACATGAGAAATCATTTTATTACAAAGATAAAAATCTTGATTTTATGCAAAAATAAATTTTGATTATAAATTATTTGCTTCAAAAAAATGTTTTAAATGTAAACAATTAATTTATTATTATAGCATTATCATATAATCATCATGATAGCCAAACTCCAGCAGTTCTAGAGACCCTTATTACAGCTCCCCATATAAGGGTCTAGAAGTAATAAAGTAATAACAGGAAGAGTCAAACTTTGGTGATATTCCTCTCTATATATATATATATCCATCCGCCTGTCATATAAACATAGATCCAAAAATTATTTTAAGAAACTAATTTTAATAAGTAATGTGATAATTTTTCAATTTTTCACAGTAATACAGAATTTGCATTGACATCTTATGCTATTAGCATAGTTTTCNAAGAAGATAGAAAGAAAGACAATGTGATAATTTTTCAATTTTTCACAGTAATACAGAATTTGCATTGACATCTTATGCTATTAGCATAGTTTTCAAAATAAAAAAAAAAACTTGGTAGAAGAAGTAAAATTTATCATCATAACTTGACAGTGCTGCTGGTATCAATGTTATGACATGTCACACTCTCATCAAAGACTGAAACATCAATCTCTAATGCATTCCAATCATTTTTGATAACATTTATATTTAGAGACTTTATTGATCAAATCATATTTCAATCCCCATTACATTATAAGTTTTAGTCCAGCAAGCAAATTCTGCATGGACAGACTCTAAAGTCCATTTAAATTAATTCTGAATATACAGCAAATTCAATAGTTAGGAAGCAAGATCCTATAATTTTATCAATTTTTTTTTAGCAGTACAAGAGGATAATATGATTAGTATCATACCCTGGCCACTTTTATTTCTTGGGATTATTCCTAAATATCCAATACAAAGACATACAGCTGAATGGAGAAAAATAGCAAAAAAAAAAAATAATCAGATTTTACTTTCCTGGCTATTAGATATTTAACAGGAGAAAGTTGAAATTGTATGAAATTTGAACCTCTGAGATTTTTGCAAATCTTCTTAGGCTCTTTGACTTGGGTTTGGGTTCAGTGGGCTCAAAACAACCCCCTAAACCAAACCCAAGAAGTAAAATAAATGAGAAAAAAATTTTGTGTGTTGGCATTTCATTTAATATCTCAGAATGGAGTAAAAATTAAGGAACAAAATTTGGCAGGGTAACTTGTCTCATATGCACCACACAATTTTAAGTTTGTGCTAATGTGTATTAGTGTTTCTTAAACATAAAAATTTCAGTTGAATTTTATTCCATTGAGTGTGGCTTCTAAGAAAAAAACTATTACATAAATTTAGTAAACATACAAAGAAAAATTTGATATTCACCAAAATGCAAATCTTCACTATACTGTGCAATAGTCAAATGTTAAATCACTTGAATCATCTCATATTCAAGTGATACAACATTTAATATAGCTTAAATTTATCATCATTTATTGTTGTAATGATAATATTTTTATATATTGTACAGAATCACTACTATCTAAAATTCTGAAATAAAAACAGTAAATATTTTAAATTCTTTCTGCACCGTTTTATTAATCTATTAATTGTACTTCTCTTGATTATGAAGAAATTGTCAAAAAAGTCACTTGTTTGCTTATTACAAATAGTGTCCATTTATCATAATCTTACATATTGTTATCAGTCATTTAATGTTATCAGGATTAGCATGTTTATGTTTTGGAACATGCTAATTCATCATTTACAGGCTAATTACATCTTAAAAAGTGGCTAAAGCCATCCAACAATGCATTTGTTTTAGAAGATCCCAACAGTCTTTAATTTAAACTACTTAGAAATGACAAAGATCCAATCAATGCACAGCATGTTACTGGTGTTTACTGCAATCCAATCAATGACCTTCAATACTAAATTAGTATAGCCTATATCCATGGCCGTGTTCAGTAATGCAGAACACCTAAGTTAGAATTCTGAGTGGCTTAGTGGGTGGAGCTAAAATGTTCTGAGCATCATTGAATGATTATTCTTAAGCCCTGGTCACACTATGCGATTTCTAGCCGCGCAGGCGACTGCAACTGCAACAAGCGCGAGTCGTACGCGTCTTCTCGTGGTCACACATTGTTCGTTGACGTTGCAACTCGGAAACACGTGACCCTATAATAAACCAATAAAATTACAGTAGCTTGTTTTTGACTACTTTCGTGAGTTTGCCGATATTTTACGTTCTACTTCAGAGTATTTACGGAATTTTAGCCACTTTTCTTATTAAAATAGCAAGCAGTTCCTTTTCTGGAATGAATAAAAGAAAAAAGGCGATTATTTTAATAGACCTGGCAAAAATACATGTAAAGATAAAATCTTCAATAAAACAAAGAATTGAAATCCCACAGGTATTCGTGAGCCTGAGTAAGCTCGATCAATCTCGATTCTGTAAAAGTATTAATCCTCTGACTATCCGCCATGATGATGAACTATTTTCAATGTTGTCACTGTATGACGTGGCATAAAGGCGTTTGTTGATTGGATGCGCATTTGCAATCGTCGCAAGTAGAACAAACTTTTTGTTTCTAGTTGCGATTGCAGTCCCGCTGGTTTTCGAGGGGGGATTACTAGTTAACGGGAACAGCCGTCGCAGTTGCAGTCGCCTGCGCGGCTGGAAATCGCATAGTGTGACCAGGGCTTTAGACAACTGGGCAAAATGGTAGATGAAGCTAAAATTATGATTGCAATGATTGTCGCAAACAAACTGGTCGAAAAGAATGAAATAACCAATACAAGTAATGAAATGGAAGATGTGTCAGATCATGATGAAATTAATGAAACATTTATTAATTGTATTCAATGAAATGGACCACTATCTTCCATTAAAGTGTATTCGAAATCTGTTGTACTGACGTATGATAATTTTACATTTCAAAGTCATTGTAGAATGATTTAATGATTTAGAATGAGAGAATAACTTTGTGATTATTATAATAAAATATGTTTAGTCCAACACAAGCAGCCATCTCGCAAATCATACGAGATAAAAACTCGAGATGACATCACTAGTAGAAGTTAGTATAGATAAAAGAAGCTGACTGAACAAGCTAGAATTCTAGTGGTGGGAGGAGTCAAGCAGTAGTTAGAAATGCATTCAACATCGTAGTATAACTAGACTGAGCAAGAATTCTGCATTACTGAACATGGCCCAGGCCACCTTGCACTCTCTTAGGAGCAGCTACTAAGCTCACCAACTAACCATAAAGAAATGTTATCCAGTAATAGCATTATCTGGTTGCACAATAAAAAAACAACATAAGAGAAAATTTGCAAGTGACAAAGATAGTAAAGCAGGTACATAACCTTGACCTCCTAAAACAAATCAAACAATTGTGATTTACAAGTCTTTAAAGGCAAAAGCAGTTAACCATAAAGATGCTAATTCTATCTTACATATATGGAGAATATGCTATGAAAACCAATAAGGATTGGATTTTTAACATAATCTTCTCTGCTAGGACTCAATTTCATGTTAGAATCACATTAAAAATATGTTATGTAAATATTCATTTCACAACTGATTTTAATTTGATGTAATTTTATGCCTGTAAACAACATCTGTGACATTATAAGTAATCATGCTAAAGATTTTAAATTTTAAATGGAATTCCAATGGTTGTTTGATTATGTTGTTTTTAGAACTTGCTTGATGATGATCATTCAACATAACCAAAAATGTTTGTGATTTAAAATTAAAATATGTTGCTGAAATTTAAAACACCATGTATAACTTTTGTACTTTATTTTGTGATATACACTTTACATATTTTTCTGAGAGGGAGAAAATAACTTATATCTTAAAGCATATAATATTAATTAGCTAATTTTATTTTAATCTGTCATATGTAAGCTTATATTTGAATAATTACATGCATCAATTAATCATGACATTCATCAATACAGCTATCAGTTTAAATTTCTTTAGTCAAATTAAGATTACATTATAACTCGCTGTTTAAAATAATTTAACATTTAAACTTATTACTGAAAATTTTAATAAATTACCTCAATCGCTTTATAAAGTCCTAATCTTGTGATGAAATTAAAGGATTCTATATGGGCTCTACTTACATCTTGAAGTAACTGAAAATAATTAAATTATACTACTGCAAAAATAAAATTTTATGGTAAAATAATACATCATTAAAGTAAAAAAGTATATATTATCAACTATTATAACATCTTGCAAGTTATTGTTGTATAACTATATAACTAACAGAATGGAAATATAGCAATGTAATGCCTTATATTGTGTTTCATTCGGTTTCCAGAAATCTTGCTTTTGAACATTTTTCAAACTTGGATATAAAGGAATTTTATCCCATACTGTCTCTTCCATTTTCGATTTTTAAATAATTTTCAATAAGCCTTTGCAGTTTTCAACGAAAAAAACTCGTCTTCTTCGCTTTGAAATTTGAACAAAATACACGTGGTTAACGCCATAAACAAAACGTCGAGTATGAACAAGTTGCCAGCTAAAGCCATAAATAATATAACATCAAAAAAATTTAAAACCAATTAATTAATCATTTTAAATAATAATTAATTCTTTGTTAAATTTTTTAACATAATTTTAATAAAATTATTTATTTTTTAATTAATGCGTGTTTATAAATTTTAAATTATTCATTCTTTCTTTATTATTTTTTCGGTCCAATGGGCCCTAAAAAAGCCTTTTTTTCAGCAAGCCCATTATGGGTTCAGTCAAGCCAACAATGGATCGGCCGGATGGTAGAGAACGTGACCCGACATAACCGAATGAACTACCCTCGAAGGCCGGATGGCCGAGCGGTCAAGATGGCAGCCTACCGCTCTGGGAGACCCGGAATCGAATCCGGTCGGGTCAAGGAAATCCCAGGAATTTTTCGGGGGTGGTCCGTTCGGATATGTCGGGCCCCGTCCCTCACCACCCGGTCGCACCATTGTGGGCCTGGCCGAACCCATAATGGGCCTGCTATAAGAGGCCCTCTTAGTGCCCACAGGGTGAAAAGAGTACAAAAAACTACTCTCGAAAAATTCCTGCTATTTTTCAACCCGTTCGGATTCAATTCCAGATTTTCCATAGCGGTAACTTTAATCGCTTAGCCATTTGTCCATAGAATGAATACAGTTTTTCACGGAACAGTAAACGTGTATCTGATTTCAACTTGGACTAAAGGAAAATATTCCACGAGATTTTAAGAATAATGAAATTAGTTTTGATTATTTTAAATTTATAGAGATATTTGAAGATTTTATATTTTATTACAGTTCATAATTATTTTTTCTGTTAGTAATCTATAATTATGGCAAATATATAAATTGCAAACAATCAAAAAAACTTTTTATTTATCACTACACTCTTGAGAGTAGTGATATTTCATGTTTTACTTTCTCTATTTCGTTTGCAGGGAATGTACTGTACAAAGGAATAATGTTTTCTATTCGTTGGTTTTATTCGGTGAAATATATTCTAGATAGTTCCTCGAAACAGTTCCAACAATTCCAGTTCTAGAAGTGGAACTGGATTGCTCACCTCTAATTTACCGAATGCTCTCTCCACTTGTCTACCTCTCTTAATGAAATTTTCCGATAGTTGACAGCAACGGACAGACAGCTGCAATTCAAAGTGCCGTTCTTTCGATACAAAAAGAGTAAAAAAAACACGAAATTTAAACTGAAAATAATTGTTTACTTAAGTAACTTGCAATGGTGCATTGTTCTGTACCTTCTTTTGTAATTTAAATAGTTCCAAAAATACAAAATACAAAAAACGGAGTAATTTTCACGGATTTTCAAGTATTCTAATAGAGAGAAATGGATCAAAATAAATAACAGACAAAGTCACTTGTCAGATATTTACTTTTATCTACAGTAGACCCTATAAAACGTGTTCATATAATTCGGATTCGTATATAACGGTGAAAAAATTGCGACCGTATTCGTATAAACACGCTAAAAAGACTCCTATATAACGGTAAAACGTCATCGCCGACTCGTGTCGTGACTGGATTGGTCGAATCTAGACCAATAGCGGATATTGTACAAACCGTTGAGTTTAAACGAGCAGCGGATCTACTAAAAACCATTTATTATTTAACGTCCATAAAAATTATATTTATATTAATGATGTCTCCAAAGATCAGCAAATTTTTCGCAGAAAAATAATTTATCAGTAAACGCCCCCCCCGTTCGCGACGAAAACAAGCTTAAGCAATGGCGTAGTCGAACTGTGCACACTCGGTAAGTAATCCTACAATTTTTTGTTTATAGCATAGTTTATACGGATTATTCCCAAAAAATTATACGTATTTTGGAAATGTTGAGTGGAATTAGTCTAGAATCGATTAATTTTATGGAAGAAAACCTTTCAAACAGCCGTAGTCCGTAAACTTCACACGTGTCGGGCTGTGATCGGCTCATGTATTTAAGGACTCGTAGAACATCAATTTCATAAAGAACGGAACGTATTTACCGTGTTATAGCGGGGTCGACTGTATTTCATTTTTAATAGCTGACAAGGTTAGTTTAAATATAGTCTATATAAAAATATTGTTTAGTAACTAAACAGAATATATTCTAAAGAGTTAAATTAATCTGATGAGATTGTGAACCAGGCCGAACCACATGAAAACTGTCATCTTAGCGTGTATGAAAGGCAAAAAACTTAAAATTCACAGACTCAAAAACTGGACAAATCAATTCCTCGTAAAACTGAGTTGTAAATTTCTCTTTTATAAGCAGAAAAATAAATTTATTTTAATTAATTTTTATATTACATTATTTAAAAGACAAAAGCGGATCAATTTATAACTTTTTAACTTATTATTTCTTGAATTTTGTTGTGTGGATACTTATTTAAAAAAAATCTTTTCTCCTTCAGTTAAAAGAAAGGTTACGTTTCTCAAATTATCCGCTAGGCACGCGCTCACCATTATGTAGTATACAGTACATCGTTTAAATTAAATTTTTTTTACAAGAATTTAATTTTTAAAATAACACAATATTGAACTTACTTAATTAAATTATATTAGTCTATAGCAGTGGTTCTCAACCTTTTTTGTTGATGTACCCCATTAGTTGTTTCACAAATACCCCTTATATTTTTGTATGTAAATTTTATAATTACTGCGTTAGATATATACAGCCCTTATAACTGAGCGCCATAAAAAAAACTCTAACTAACTAACTATAACTAAAAGTGAATTACTTATTTTACATAAATAATAATAAATTTAATCAGGTACATACATTTATTTATTATTATTTGATAAGTATATAATTACATATTATATAAAATCAGAGAAGTCATTTCAATATATGCATAAATTACATTTCCTAAAAATAAATAATTATAAAACAATAAAGAAAATTTAAATTATTCTACAATAATTTCTAACAAAATTTAATGGGATATTTGTTGCGATAAATCTTCAGCAATTTTTCAAAATTTGGTTCCCACGTTGTTAAATAGAGATTATAATTGTGTAATGACCTTGAAAGTAATTGCTGAGAATTTATAATGCGCAGAATCTTTATATATACATATAAAGATTCTGCGCATTATACATGAATCTTTCAATTTTTGTAACAAATGTAACGTCTAAATTTGCTAAATATCAAGTAATGCACGCATGCAGCGACATGCATTGCATGGTGGGGGCACAATTCAGGCCTCATTATTCCTAATACCAGTAGTCCAGTAAAAACACGAAAAGCCCCAATCTTATCGAGCAATAATTATAGAATAAAAAAATTTTTTTCTATTCTATAATAATTGCTAGATTGCTATATTATTGCTTTTCTATTCTAAAATTAATGCTCGGTTAAACCGAAATTTTACTAGACTACAGGTTCACTCGGCACTAATGGCACAAATAGACAGGCAAATCAAGTGGATAAACAAGTTGTTTAGACTGTTAAAAGGGAAATCGGTGTTCACACTGGGATATTTTAAAGCAAGTTTTTGT